ATAAGCTGACAAGTTCCCCTATTTAATATGAAAAATTAAATAGGGTTTATAATAAGTTGGGTTCGGAAAAGCTTCCTATAAAGGCAAGCCCTTATAGTTAATTACATCTTAAATGCCCGAAGCCACCTAAGAAAACTCTCGATAAAAATTAGGGGATATTATTTTTTGAGGAATTCAAAGGATTAGGACTTTTCAATGAGATCAGGTAAAACGGTGTGAAAGGAGAATGACTCAAATTTGAAACACATATTGTAGAATTCAAAAGAGGAGAGACAAGGAGATGTCATATATCCGGAGGAGAACCTCGGTGACTTCCCAAGCTACCCTACGGTTTGGCTTCAATTTTGACGATAAATATTTAAATGTTTCATCCTGCCAATTTTTATTTATTAGGGCTTACATTAATGTGAAACGATCACACACCTGGAAGATGTGAGGATTTAGATCGTGACGAACGCAACCTCGGAGTCCTAAAACTAGTTAGGGCTTATATTGTGTAGAAGAGCTATACAAAATCCTAAAGATAAGTTGATGATTTATATCGCACTAAGAGGACAACCTCAAAATTTTATGGCTTGTTGTTTAATTCTAAGGAAAGAATGATTTAGTTGATGTAGACATGTTTTGCTTTTGAAGATGATCGTGCTGCCCACAATGTTAACTTCAAACTCCTCGTCGTGGCAAGTTTAGGTTTTCTAATGTGTCAAGTCATGATGTCAAATCAAATATCCTTAAGGCTATGGTTCCTTAAATATTATGGGGCATGTTAAAGTTGATTAGAGTGACACCTGTTAGGATTCTACGGTTCTCTCATTCCTGAACCACTATTTTCTTTCAGATTCACTTAGTTCAAATGAATTTACTAAACTCAACCTAATGAGTTTCATACTTTCATTTAGTCCGTTGGAAATCTCGTTAGCAACTGTAGTTTATCTCCTCCAATGGATTCTCGATCATCAGACAGAGAAGTTTTAATTTAGTTGCAATTTTTGTTTTTGTGATGTTTGTGATTAAATTTTGAATTGTCTTATATTTTGAATGTTGAGGAAGTGAATTTTATCTTGTTTGATTTTCAAATTTTTGTTTTGGTTTTGTGGCTATCCTAACAGTTTTGGTTTTCATGCAGAGTAACATCGTTGTTTAATATGCAAGTTTGAAGCAAGAAGTACAAAAAAATACATAGTAATTTAAAAGGCGCACCTGTCAATTCTTCTCGTTCCTCCACCTGAAAGGTTAGTACTTGCAAGATATGTATATAATTTTGCAAAGAATTTAAATTATAGGAGTAGATGAAGGTATAGCTATCCAACCCCAAAGTATGACTCTATTGAGCCTCTGAAGCTCTTTAGTGGATGTATCCTAGATCAACACATGACAAGCTCAACCTGTCCTTCAAAATATCCAAAAGATTTCAAAATGCTCAAGGTATGACTCTGAACTACTTTGAAGATCTCATGAATTATTTTGAGTTCATTTTTTGAACTTATCATATTGCTCCATTAATCATCCAGGGTTAGAGTGTGACAACCTCATTGCCCAGTGAAACTTGATAATTCAATTATCTCGAGGATATGATAATTAGTCAAGTTGACATTTTACTTAGAGGTTATATGGATGAATCCCCCTAAGGCAATCTCAAGTCATTAAATACTTGGTGCCATCACAAATGGGCTTGGAGTGTTTAAAGATGTTAATTACCAATCATGTTATCTTCAAAATCCAATCAATTGAGTTTAGACATTGAACCTAGGTTACTACCAAACCCTTAAAAATCATAACGAAGAAATTGTGGTGATCAAAATTTTAGTTTAATTGCTATTTATTCTTGTTAGAAGATCATATCATCATCAATTTCAGGCTTAAAATAAGTAAATTATCATCTCTCTAGCTTAAGCTCCTCACTTAAGAATCATCTAATCTTAATTGAATTCCAAGTCATGAGATTAGGGAAATTATGATTTTGTTGATATTGTGAAAAGGTGGTAAGTGAGTTTCTACCTTTAACCCATTACATGTCAATC